TTAAGCCACATTGGCGCAAAATGCAATTTATTCAGACACACTACCCTCACATGAACGCTACCGGACGTTAGAGCAAAAACAGTCAGCATACTTTAATGTACATGAATGAGTCATCCGAAAGCCAGACAAAAGCGCTAAACTTAGTGGCCAGTGCAAATAATGCAGTAGAGCGTAAACGAATTGGGAACAACAAAACCAGTTCTGCAAGAAGCAAACTAAACATGCTTTTACAAAAACCTAATCGCATATGGAAGTGAGTTTACATACTGTTCCTATAAACATTACAAGGCTGTTAACTACAGTTTGCCAAACAGAGCCCGTAGAGTAGCTAAGAATACAGCTCTCAGCATAGCTACAAACCTATTTCATAAAATCGTCTAAATACTGTACCGTTAGAAGCATTTTTGTTAACACTACCTCCTAGCATTCATCCCAATAAAAGGGATAAAATATGGTGTGGAAGCACAGAACAGCATACCCAACAGTGAAGTGACAAAGTCTGTGGACGAATGCGCAATCGAGAAACCTTCTGCATTGACTGTGCTCGGTGACCCAACGGCTGGGGGAGCGCTCTTGACAAACCCCGTGACGTGCATTAAAGCGTAGCGCTGTTGCAAAGGACCAGCCACGAAATCACCAATGTCGCCATTTAAGGAGTCAGCAGCAGAGAGCACAATCTGTTGATGCCTAAGACGAGCCTGACGAGCAACAGTAGACGCAGACGGAGATGCCTGAGTAGGTAATGGGCTGCCCAATTTCATTCGACAAATGAAGCCACGACGGTCGTCAGAGAGTCCACAGCGTGATTTAGCTGCTTGCAGTTTGTTAAATAAAACTCAGCAGACTCAAAATTCAACGGATGAAGAGACAAGGCATACTGCGACATTGAAACAGGTACATGAAACGACTAACTCCCCTAACATTTCCCAGTGCGAATTTCACAAACAACTGGATAAAACGTAAGGTAATGCAGAAGTAAAAAATACAGTATGCATTTAATGTAGACATCGATCAAAATAGCTTACATCCATCCCTTTTCATTATTCCTGACTTTAAATCCAAAACACGAGATGTTATGCAACCAGTCGAAGAGTCTGTGGACTTATTATAATCAGCGCCATTTGTGAGTGATTCGTGGGGCGAATCAAGGCCTAGTGCAGCACAAGACGAAGTTCGTTGTACTCCAATAAGCTGTTCCCGAATTTTATCCGCATCATCAGGATGACAAAGATCATACACCGTTCGGTGATACCAATCCGACTAAAACGATAAAAAAAATGTAATAAGGACTCTATAGCCAAACTGTCAGCAACAAGCAGCTACGCACCTGAGTTGCATTCAATATTGGTGAAACGCTGTCCGAGACATACATAACTTTACCAGTATCACATCGGCAAACAAACAGAAACCCATCAGCAGCCTAAAAATAAAGAGGTTATGTTAAATCTCATTAGGACGATTGCGACAAACCGAACGTACCTCTAAAATCAAGTGTTTCAGCTCCTGATCAGATAAGAAAGAGGGTTTAAGGTAGCCATCAGAAATGTTAGTTGCACCTAGAAGTAAATAAGCAGCGCATTACGCGATGATTTAGGCTATTCCTTTCACAAAATGAGGAAGCACCATTGTGCATCCAACAAACATAAAAAAGACCATACCACGCAGGGTCTTAAGGTGGCTCACGGCCATTCGAAGTATTGTCAGCTTGTCAGGCCTTCTTGACACAGAGCTACAGGAAGGTACCATTGCACAGAGTTCATTAATGTAAGCCGACATCTTATTTCTACGACGCCTTTCAATTTGACAATGATTCTCTCTCGCAGATCTTTCTTTTTCCAGCTGCGCAAAAGTCTCCTCCTTATCTGGCTGTGTGCAACCATTGCAATTACCGCCTTCACAAATGCTAATGGTGATTTGTAAAATGAAAATTATGACCTACTGCTGGTCGTTGGTCATGTCCAGCTGTAGAGTAAGTAGAGAACCCGATTAGTCACCGATCCTGAACGCACAAGGTATAGAGGGGTAGAACACAATAAAAGCAATATTCCAATACCCTTCCGCAGTAAGACAATAGCCAGCGACTACCAGTTAAAGGTAACAGCAAATCACTCGTTTAAAAACAGAGGGCGCTGGTTATTTGCCTTCTAACAAATATAAACAAATATATTTAAAAATTTAAAAAAAGCAATCACAATTGTTGTATTTTTGTATTAATAGTTAACTTTTATTACAATTAAAAGTATTCTGTGGTTTGGCTGGACTAGTAGAAGACAATACAACTTTCTAAATTGCGAACATTTACCTGGAAATATCATACGAAGAACTGTTGACACCCCCAGTGCGTAGCTTTGGGCCAAAA